CTGCCTTTTTGTACCCCCAGGGTATGGGTCATACTTTCCTGTTTCCTTGCATGACTAATCATTTTTGTTGGATTCTGGACATTTTAGATAATATATTTTGGCAACTCTGGGTACTGGTGCCTCCCCTCTGGTGCTTGTTATTTCCTTGTTTATTTGGTACCATTATTTTAATAGTCTATTTCTCTCTTGCACTGATAAGCTTCTGATATTGCTCTTCAGAGAACATATCTTTGGGTTATGTGCACAGTCACCCTGGGTTAACAGTGGTTTTTTTCAAGGTTCTCTTGGGTTGTCTCTTTTGCTGATCATACCCAGCTGTTAAACACTACTAATTGCTGGGTGATTTCTTTATGGCTTTTGATCAGTACCCTGGGGCATAAATTGCTCACCAACTAAACCAAACAAATTCAGACTCCTTTGAAGGGATAGTTCTGGAAGTCAGATATTAATATTTGTTCTGACCCTAGACAGTTTCCTGTAGCTATGTTCTTCCAGGTTCTCTCCTGCATACTAGCTGGCCTACAGTTTAGCTAGTATGTCCAATGATTCTACTAATGTCATCCCAATTGCCCTTCAGTACTTCTTTTACTAATAGTGAAGGTAGTTTTGGAGGGCACCCTTAGGCTTGAACTTCTCCACACTCTCTGGCAAGTAAAGTCAGTTCCTTTAGGAAAAGGTTTATTGCCTACTCTCCCTCCAGGCAAAGTCTTGGGGTCATGGCTATGGAAGTGGAAACAAGGACAATGGCAAGCTTCTCTTTCAATGACATTCCCAGTTTAGGAGCTGAGTGCTCTGTGGTGGTGGTGGGCAGGATCTTCAGCTTTTTTTTTTTTTTTTTTTTTTTTTTTTTTTTTTTTTTTTTTTTTGGCTTGATTCTCCACCAGGCTGGTGGAAAGAGGATTGGGGTCCCAGTATTCTCAGCAACACCCACCCAGGGTAGAGCTCCTTAGGGACTGGGTGGAAGAAGAAAAACTCCACCTCTCACCTATGCTTACCTATAACTTAGCCTCAGAAGCAGATAGGTGGGTGCAGGATGAGAAATACTGACTTTTTTGCCCCTCCTGGGTTGATAGCTCTCCAACTGGGAACTAGGGGAGGTGAGATTGTGCTTTTGCCTGTGCCAGCCTCAAGTTTCCATCTTGCTCAGTTGAAAGGAAGGAGGAAGCAGATTGATTCTCAGTTCAAATACCAGACTGTCATGGTTCTTTATACATTTTAATAAATTCTCTTGAATGTGTGTTTATTCAGATGTGTGTTCATCAGCCATACTGAGCAATTTTAGCTGGTTGTTCTAAAATAATTTTCACTGGGTTTGCTGCTGAGTGAGTCCACAGAGTTCTTCAGGCTGTCATGCTGAGAGTCCGAGTAATGCTGCCCATCTTTATTTCTTCTTTTTGGAACATGTATTCCAAAAGTAAGATCTACATTGGAACTTCTGCTATGCTTTACATTTCAAGTTGTCGTATTTTCCATCTCTTTATTTCTGTTATATTCTATTCTGTATGTGAGCTCTACACCCAACATGGGGCTTGAATTCAACTCACAACCCCGAGATTAGGAGTCACATGATATACCGACTGAGCCAGCCAGGTACCCCTATTTCTCTGTATATTCTGAATTTATTTTCTTTAGTTCATAATCCATCTAACCAATGTTATCTCCAGTTCTGTCTAATATTCTGAATTACTCTTTTGAGTTTTTGATTATTTAAATTTTAATTTAATTCAATTTTATTGAATTTATTTTACTTTTATTTTACTTATTAAAATTTTATAATTTAAATTTCCTTCAGTACTATTTAGTACTTTAAAAAATCTGCCTAGTATTTTAAGATAGTCTCGTTGATTTCTTCTATTTTCTTTTCCTTTGGCTTTGTTTCTAACCTTTTATCCAATGTGTATTTCATAGTATATATCTGATCCATTCTTAAATTCTAAGGAATTTGTTTCTTGTTTAATTTTATGGAATGCTCTTTCTGTATCTATAAAGATTTTTTAAACCTTAATTTAAACAGGGAGTGAAATAAGTCAGTCAGAGAAAAGACAGATGCCATGTTTTCACTCATTTGTGGAACTTGAGAAACTTATCAGAAGACCATGGGGAAGGGGAGAAAAGTTACAGAGAGGGAGGGAGCCAAATGGTAAGACTCTTTAAATACTGAGAACAAACTGAGGGTTGATGGGGGGTGCGGGAGAGGGGAAAACGGGTGATGGGCATTGAGGAGGGCACTTGTTGGGATGAACACTCGGTGTTATATGGAAACTAATCTGACAATAAGTTATATTTTTAAAAACAGATTCTCTTCCTCTCTCTCCCTCTGCACCTCTTCCCTACTCACACACTCTCTCTAAAAAAATTTTAAAAAGTAAATTAATGGGTAGAGGCATTAAAAGCTGATGGCTACTAATAACATCCAAGAGAGATGAGACATTATGTGCCTCCTGATGAAATAGCATACCACCTCCTCTAAAGTAGCCTTGAAAAAAAATCTATCTAGATCCAACTAATCAACGTAGAGGAAATCAGAAGACCAAGGATTATGTCCTATGCCCTATGTCCTATGGAGATGCAGTTACTAGAATATGGATTTACATGAAACTCTCTAGGACAAATTGGGTTTCCTCATCAAGTAAACCATAAGGAGAGAGAGCAGGAGAGAACACATGAAAGATGGGGGAGGGAGACAAAGGGAGAACAAAGAGCCAGCAAGAAAGGGAGAGTGAACTCAGAGATTAAAAGGAACATAAAATACATACCAACCATTTGCTGTATGTGGAATTTAACTGGATCCTGATTCAAATAAAGAATGTATCTATAAAAAACAGGCCATCAGGAGATATGTGAACTTTTGAACATTCACTGCATATTTGACACTAAGGGATTTTATTTTCAAATGTGTGCCAATGGCATTGTGGCTATCTTAAAAATAGTTATCTTTTAGATTTAACATTGAAATACGCATGGTTGAGATTATATGTTTGTAAAATGCTTCAAAATAACATGGGAGGAGTGTAGTATAGAAGAAGCATATAGGCTACGAGATGATAATTCTTGAAGTCAGGTAGTCGATTCATTACTATTCTTTATGTTCTCTTACACATTTGGAATCGACTTTCCTATTACTTACTGCTTTGACCTTGTAGTCTTGATTCTTACGGGCAAGGAATTTTGTAATCTAAAATGAGGTCAAAAAGAACAGTTAACAAATGCATCATCACATTCCGATGTGTGTACTTTTTAAACCTGAATCATCTATAAAGCTGAGAGCATCATTTGAAAACAATGACAATTTCCTGTTAATTTTCCCTAAATGAAATCATCACATGTATTGTTTTTTTTTTTTTAATTTTTTTTTAATGTTTTATTTATTTCTAGGAGAGAGAGAGACAGCGTGAGCAGGGGAGGGTCAGAGAGAGAGGGAGTCACAGACTGAAACAGGCTCCAGGCTCCGAGCCGGCAGTCAGCACAGGGCCCGACGCGGGGCTCGAACCCATGAACCGCGAGATCATGACCTAAGCGAAAGTCGGACGCTTAACCGACTAAGCCACCCAGGCGCCCCACATGTATTTTGTTTTTATTCTAAAAAAAAATGTGCTCTGCTATAAAATACCTATGAAATCAGGCACACATCTCTTTTTTGGTTAAATGCTTAATTCTGAAACACTTAGATATTTCAGTGTCTGTACTTCTTCAAAAATCATTTCTTCGGGATCCTGTTGCTATCACAAGCTGTTCAATTTATGTGTGTGTCATTTAAACTACTGATTGAGGTAAAACCAACAACTTTTTATTTGTTGTTCATTAAATGTTAAGACATGGGCACCTTGGGAATGACACCTAAATCAATCCATAATTTATAGAAACCTACAGTCTCCCTGGGAAGACAGAATACATGACAAGAGGAACAAGAGAAATGTGTAAATAATTGTCAAGGTAACAGAATAAATTATATATATGCATTTTTGTCAACTCAAAAGTCAATACCCAGAATTCCTAATTTCTCCATTCTAAGAATTTTTCAACTGTATTAAACCCTGACTCACCCCTACCTCTGCCAAGATAACAAGGTGACATAAATGGGCAAAATATAAGAGAATGGGTAGAGTAGAGAGCTCTAGTAATATTAATGAAGGCACTAACATGATAGCTGTAAATATAGTCTTTCCCTTCTTGGAAAACATGGACTTTTGGCTTCTGCCAGCCCAGGACACTATGATCCTTATCCTGAACTGAACTGTTAACAAGAAGCCAGACTCTAGTTCTAGGGAGAAGTGATTTGAAATGGAAATGGAAGCATCACTAAAATTTCAATAGGCAGAAGCATCATGGGTTTATACATTTAACAAACATATGTAATAATGCTTCTGTGTCAGTCACTAAGCTAATTGGACAATCAGACAAGTATAATACAGTGTGACAGGTACTATAATAGGACAGGGTGTTTGGGGAAACACAGAAGGACAGCCAGCCACTGACGCAGATGAAGGAGTGACGGTAGAGCAGAGTCAGGTGCAGAGACAACAAAGGAGAGAAGTAAAAGGTGGTCCAGCCTGCTTGGACCTGAAGTCTAAGAGCTACTCTGATACGGTGGCCATTAGACACACATGGTTGTTGAACACTTGAAATAAACTTAAACTTGATTGAGAAACTGAATTTATAATTTTAGTATGTAACTTAAATTTAAAAATTGGTATGTTTCAGTATACTTGCAATGATGGGTATGTGGATCTACTTTTTCATAGTGAAATTTATAAAATTTAATAACATCAAATTATCTCTAATGAAAATTCAACATCCGATTTGAGATGTGCTGTTAAGAGTAAAATACACACCTGATTCCAAAGATTTAGTATTTGCAAAAGATGTGTAAAATTTTTTGACTTTTTGCTATTGATTACATGTTGACAGATTTTGGATAGATTAAATATATTATTAATTGCATTTTTTTAAATGTAGCTTCTAGATTTAAAATTACATATTGGCTTGTATTATATTTCTAGGGATAGAAAGTCGTTGGGGAGACCTGTACTTTCTGAAGGCAGCAAGAAAAATGCCCACATGTTTTTGCCTTGATATCCTCGGACAACTACTAAGAATGAAGGAAAGGAAGGTATAGTATTACAGAGTAGTAGTGAATCAGGAGTTACAGACCCAGAGAACCCTGGGTCAGATTCATTAGGTCATCTGTGCATCTCTAATGCAGAACCAGAGTTGAGTCAATGTATTGGAGAATGAGAGAGTCATAATCACATGTAACCCAAACTGCTCCATGTTTTAATGCTGGGGGGTAACTGATTTATTTTATTGTTTATAATTAGCAGGTTATTATCTTGAAGACAATCTCCTAGACACAAACACATGGACTTTACAGACTGTAAACAGACAGGATGTATCACTAAAGGACCCAGTAACAGACCACAGTGAAAAGTAATAATTCTGAGGAAAAAAAAATTATCTCCCTATGACAGAAAACAAAACACATTCCTATAAAACTAACAACATAAAGCAGTGTAAGAAGCAAGCTTCTATTTTATGAAAAAATCCAAAGCACTAACTCCTGTAAAATAATTCATCAACTCATAAAAAGCAGAAACAAAGATTAAAAATTAATTTTAAAACTACCTGACACACTATAATGTGTGTATATAGTCTCTTACATAGTTTAAGACTATTTCAGTATTAAACACCCAACTTTTCTCTAGTTGTGGCAAGCCCAAATATCGTTTGACTGTACAGTCATTTGCAATCCTCTTCTTTAACAAAATGAAAATGGAACTCAAACAGAACTCTTCTTAGAATTATCATCTTAAATTTTGTATCAATACGCGTATATGTTTTCAGGAACTGGATCTTTTTTATTTATTTTTAAGACAGATTTACCATCTGATTATATTCACTGTAGAAAAATGTGAAGACACAGAAAAATATAAAGAAAATTGTTCCCTCCCCCAAATACAGTAACAAAAGATTATATATTCATTTCTAGCCTTTTTGTACATCAAAAAGAATTTAAAGACAAAATTAGCAATGTAAAATGATTACACATATCCTTTTGTCATTTCGTATGACAGAGCAACCATTTCTTGAGGACATTAAATATGTGAAAACATGATCTTCAGTTGTCCGCTTCACAGTCTAATTAGAGCCAGGTCAAAATTTATCTCCAACTATTGGATATTCAAATTGTTTTACATATTTGTTATTATAACTAAAACTAAATTAAACATCCTTCTTTATACATAATTCCTTGTATCTCTGATAATTTTTTAAAGATAAAGTCCTAGGAGTAGAGTAACCAGCACAAGGGTGTTAAGTATTTTTAAGACCTTTGATACATTTTACCAAACTGCCCTCTAGAAAGACTGTATGAATTTTCAGTTACACCAATAAATAGCCCAAAAATTCTAGTTATTCTTATTTCCTTGGTAACATGGGAAACTGGATGTCACCTCCCACCCTTTATCATTACAAATTTATTGGAGCAAGAGTAAATGGAGTCTTGTCTTTTTTTCTAAAGTATAAGAATTTCTCACATTTTTTCTGAAGTGTAAGAATTTTTCCACATGTTTACTGGTGATTTGCTTTCTTTCTGTTTTCTGAAGCAGTCAAAACCTTCTAGAAGGCATCTCTGATATGTGCATGTCTTGTCACGTTCTTCCTTAGCAGGCGGGGGCACGAGAGCTGCATGTCTTTACATGTTTTTTCCAAGTTATGCAGAAATTTCCCAAATGACTGGAATTTGAAAGTCTTCTGGTCTTCTAGGCAGCCACACTATTTTAATGTCTTGGTAATAAAACAGAAAACTGGGCTGTATTCTAAAAGGAAGAAAGCAGGCATAGATTATAGTTAACCAAGCACTTGCTGTAGGTAGTGATTTTTAGGAGGAGGATAATCACATGGAGTACTTATTACAAACCAGATTTTCATTAAACTTTATTTTTAAGAGGGAGAGAGCCAGAGTGAGAACAGGGGAGGAGCAGAGAGAGAAGGAGACACAGGATCTGAAGCAGGCTCCAGCTCTGAGCTATCAGCACAGGGCCTAACACAGGGCTTGAACACTCAGACCTCGAGATCGTGACTTGAGCCAAAGTTAGGCGCTTAACCGACTGAGCCCCCCAGATGCCTTAAACTAGATTTTGATTTTAGAGAGTGAGGACTCATGGTGTACACTTCTCAGAAAATTCTCATGTTCACCAAAGCTTAGAAACAACCAACCAGAGGTAGGACTTGCGACATAGCCTGTAACTCTTTGTTCCTCTCTCTCTCTCCTCTCCTGTAAAGTGTGTTTATTTCAAAAAGGCCATTCAGATTCTCTCAGATCTCTATTCCCTTTCACATTCACTAGAACACATTTTATGCACCAACCTCCAGCCTGGACTAAAATTAACACAATCTCTGTCCTTTATCCCACTGGAAAAAATCCTTGAAATTTTAATGTATTAGTATCTCCAAACATAACAGGATCTTCATTACATCAAGTCTTATGTATCTTTATAAACCACAGCTGGACACATAGTGGGTACATACTAAGTGTTTCTGAAATGAACAAATGGATGATACACATTTCCATGAACATGCTACCCCAGAATAAGGGGTTATTAGTATGGTGTTCCTTAATGTGACAGAATGGAGGCCATGATTCTTAGTTTTGTCTAGAGCAGCAATTCTTCATTTTCTTTCTTCCAAATCTGATGATTAATTTCTTTCTTGAGAATCTGATGAAAGCTACACACATTAACCCTCTTTAAAAATGCATACCTACGGAAACACACTATTTTTACATACTTTCAGAAGCTTCTCAGAAGGAACATAAATTTCTATGATTCAAGCATTTTTACTTAAAAATGAGGCTGAAATAATAAATTTATTGCTCGGGAAATTATCTTCAAATTCAAAAGACCATGGTCAAACTACAGTCAGTTGGAAAACCTAAAAAAAACCAACCCATCATATTTTGCAGGTGACATTAGCCTCAGCAGCTGCAAAAGTATGAGTCATATTTCCCACAATCAATAGCGTCCTTGTTTAGACAAGCTAAAGCTAACGTTATGCTGCTCCTCCTGCACTGAGCTCAGGGAAATGTAACGGTTTCCAGTTTAGACTAACACTCCCTATTCTTAGAAATTACTTTGTTTCCCTTTTCTTCATAATTATAGTAAGGGTGGCCTATATTTCAATAATGATGAAACACTTCATGGGGGGAAAGGGCTATCATTTACTCAATTAAGAGCATTTATCTCCTAAGTATACAGGTTGAAACCAACACATGTATTTCCTGTCCCTTATGGACTAGAAGTCTAGTGGGAAAATAGAATACAAATTCCAGTATTTCTGACTTTGCCAGTCCTTAAGGCTGAGAGACACCTTGTTACAGGGTGTGCTGCAGCCTTCTGTATCAGTCTGCAAGAACCAGCTCTGTGTATCTATCAGTGGCTTTGTGTGGATAGCTTGAAATCAGCTGTGGTGGAGAATTTATACCACGTAGTCAGCATCCACTCCACTCTAAATCGTGGTTCCTCCATGCCCAGCAGCTGTCAATCATTGACTACCATGCAGTGTCTTCATCACACTAAAATGGTGGCTCTCCAGGGCTCCTTGCTGCTAGCAGTTCAGGTAGGGAAGGCTTTTATCAACTTTTCAAATCTCTCAACTACTTGTCATAAGATCCAAGAGCAGAGGTGTGTTCTAGACCTTACGACACACTAGTTACCCTCTATGGATACTAGGGGAATGTAATATCCAATCAATTTGAGGCAATTCCTTATCCAATGTGGTTAATCGAGAGAGTCACAAAATGTCCAAATAAAAATCATGAGTCTCTGAGTTTAGCAGTCTGTTTAAATTATATTCTGGGAATTACTACCAGAGTTAAAAAGCTACCAATCTACAACCCATCCTATGTTTATCATTAACCACTGTCTTAGTTTGATACATCATCAACCCTATGTAGACATTCCTTGGCACCATTTTGGTAATGCTGTGTTAGTGTTTTGGCTTCAAACTTTGCATAGGTCTGCCAAACAGCACCCACCTTTGTCAACAATGTAAGCCATGTGCAGAACAAGCACTATCAATCTGCTAAAGTAGGACTTACTGATACCTTGCAAAGCATGACAGTGTTTAGAACCTGGCAGACTAGATAATAAAATGTAATCTTACCACCTCAACTTTCAACAGTCTTGCATCATTAGCCAAAATACAAAACTCCTCAATTTTCGTAGAGCATGAAAACTTGTAGAGAACTTCTAGACTAGTATAAAATATATGATGAGCTAAACAAGGTGAAGTGAAAATAGAGGAGAAAAGGCAGCTGAAAGTCTATAGAAGGGTCTGCTTGCAGATGGCTGAGGATACTTACCTTCAGGTTCTGGAGGGTTTCTGACCATTCCATGGACCCTATCTGAGGTATGGTAGTGAGGAGTAAACTTTTGGCTTTATTGGCATTTTCTTTCAGGGTCTTTAAGACCTTGTCCACTGAAACCTAGAGAAACAACAGCACAGGATGTTACTAGCAATTTACAGTTCCACTGCTTTTCACAGACCATGTTGCTGAGTTCCACCTGATCTGTGAAATCAGTTTACTCCAATTCCAATCCCCTGAGCACTAGCTCTGCATTTTTCGAGCCAGTCTTACTTCCAGCAGGGAGGTATTGGAGAAACCTAATGACATATCTGAAAAGCACCAATGGTTCTCAATCTGATGTCTGAGAAACCATCTCAGAAGTATAATGTGGTAGAAAGATGTGGCTAATTCTCCTCACATCCACACTAAAATGGATTCCAGTCTTAAAACTATTGCTACACTGGCTAGCTAATCAGAAGATAAGCACATTTCTCTTACAATTTTTAAATAAAATTTTTTTTAAATTTTTTTAATGTTTTACTTATTTCTAGGAGAGAGAGAGAGAGAGAGAGAGACAGCGTGAGCAGGGGAGGGTCAGAGAGAGGGAGTCACAGACTCTGAAACAAGCTCCAGGCTCTGAGCTGGCAGTCAGCACAGAGCCCAACGCGGGGCTCGAACCCACGAACTGCGAGATCATGACCTAAGCGAAAGTCGGACGCTTTACCGACTAAGCCACCCAGGCGCCCCATTTTTAAAAAAAAATTTTT